CGCTTCCGCAGCACGTGGAGAGGAACTGCGCCGCCTCGTCGCGCCTCGCTCTCAAGGCTGCGGGCGTCTTTGTCCCGCGAGATTTCAACGTCTCATGCCTCCAGAGCAAGTGGTTATGGCTAGAAAGGATCCGTCTTGTGTAAATATGACGTCACGTTCTCGTTGTAACTCTCGTTGGAGCGGCTCGGAAACACATCTACAGCAGTAACATGATGCAACATACACATTAATGCAGCAGGATAATAGTAAAACACTGAAAGGGAACATTTTATTGCACCAGGAGCTATCTTGGGACTTTTACTGCGACAACGTTGACTTGCCTGTGAATAAAAAATAAACCATAGTGTTGGTGATCTACAGTGTTGTCATTCTTCTTTGAACAGCAAGACATAATTAATAGATAGTTTAGCTTCTCACGATCATTTGCTGTGGCCCACTGATGTTAACGATCGTAACTGAAAGGCTGCCTGCCAAACGTAAACATTCAGCCACGTGACTTGCAAACTCTCGCGAGAGTTTTACACAAGACGGATCCTTTCTTGCCATAACCAGAGCAAGTCGGACAAAATGACTAACCATCATGCAACGCACTAGCAAGACGTTGATCGAAATTGCCCAGGTCTGCGCAAGTCTCGGACACGGTTTAAAGTATGTGGATGCGCTTATAGTAGTCCGCTTTACGGTAAATTGTAGTTTCCCCACGGAAGACGCACATGCACTAAAGCCGCTGTCGCATCTTAATGACGTTGCCCATTGATTAATAACAAAGTTCAGTCGGATTCTCTTAGCATAGCGGTTCTCTTTGATATAGTCCTGATTAATTAACTCTCATATCTTTCCTTAAGGCTATAACGTTCTTCACGGAGGTGACGGAAAACCGGTTAGGAACAAGACCTAGGACCTGACGTTGTGACCAGGACCAACACTTGTCCAGGGTATGAGGAACTGTCCGGTCTAAGTAGTACAAACTCCAGGAAAACAGTCATTAAGATGGACATTTCGCAGGACTTTCAGGCTCCTTTTTTCGCCATGAGTCGTCTACTTTCATTTCCCTGGACTGTGAGTATGGCTTCGTGCTAGCATTGCTATTATCCCGTCTCCATTCATCATGCAGAGTGAGCGTTCAGCCAAAGTCCACTCAAATATTTATATATTCGTGATATAATGCTCAGCAGAAAACATATTCAGTGCCTAAAAAAGACTGATATTATAAGAAATGTTATTGCATATTTCGGCACACATATGATCCACCAGCAGGACGAAATGTGTCAATTAATCTGAACCTTCTTCAATTCAGACTGGAGTTCAGTTTGCTAATATACTGAAATAACAGCAGACCCAATGTTGACCTTTTAAAAATAAGAGTGGTTGAATTAAGTGTTTCAATTAAATCCATAAGCTTTCCTCACGTGCATATCTTTAGTAAAATGGTGGTTGGTATAAGACTGTACTTGAAAATAATGAGAAATAATTAATATAAAGTAGAATAAGTTATATCCAAATTAGAATGAAAAACATATTAAAAATACAAATGATTCTGTAAAATAAAGCATACATATATTTAAAGTCTCAATCGCTTCCTATTATTTTAATGTTGATTTCTGTATCTAGGGGGTTACAGTTATTTGACAGGATGTATCCATGTGTAAAATGGGTTTAAAGGTCACCTATTATGCACAATCCACTTTCTACATAAACACTTGTCCCCTCTGTGTAAAGAGACTGAAAGTTTCAGGAAAAAAGATTCTCTCTCTTTTTGTCCTGATCCATTTATATAAAAACCTGTCTGAAAATTAGCTGATCAGATTTTGGACACTTTGTGATGTCATAACGTTTTTTTGGCTTGTGTAACCATTAGCCAATCACCAACCAAGGTAAACACGTGTACACACACACACACACACACACACACACACACACACACACACACACACACACACACACACACACACACACACACACACACACACACACACAAAAATCTCCTCCGAGAGCACCATTGTGTTCTTTTTAACCAAATCTCTCTCAGGGGGGCGTGGGGAGGGGCTCCTTATTTTTCCCCTAAGTAACAGACAGAGAATCAGTACTTTTGAAACAGGGCTGAAACAGAGGGGATTATGGGATGCTACAATGATCTGTTTGGTATTTCGAGCCAAACACTTCAGAGACATGTTTTGTATATATCTGAAACCTATAATATATTGATGAAAAACAGTATAATAGGGGAACAGTGTAATAACAATGTAGTATTGGCGTTACATTGATTTAAATGGGTCTGATAACAGTGCAATACCGGTGTAATGTAGAAAATAGCAATCAATTCATTTTCCAAAATGCATTAAAGTGTAAAAATCAAAAAGGTGGTAACCTGCGAGATAGTACTAAATACAAACATGTGAGCATGTACAGCTCATTAAAGGCTTCAAACCATTTTATTATTTCCAACTAATAATATCTACTTTCCAGTTTGTAGAAAAAGATCTGGAAAGCAACAAATCGTCAGAGCTGATTTCCGACATCCTGAAACAGGTAAGTGAGGCTGCACTCAATCCTGCCTAAGTCTTCTACACAGTTATCAATTGAATAAACTAATATGTGTCCTTTGTGCTTCCCGCAGACATGCCTTCACTCTTTGTGCCGGAAGTTTCCTCCGTCAGCCAAATACAGGAAGCTGTTTCTCTCTCAGCTCATCAAACGGGTTGGTTTCCATCCGTCTGTCCCTCATAGAAAATATACTTATATACATCTGTTGATAATGCTATTGTAGTTACTTTAGTTTCTTATAATGTCTTCTAACTCTCCAGGAGATAATGACATTTGGGACTTATCTATTATTATTGATTAGTTTGTTTAAGAGGTGAACTATGTAACATTTTAGCAAATACAATGTGAAAAAAATAACTATACTTATGTTATTTATAGTATCCTAATGTCTTTTAGAGAAATGTGTAATTGTTATCCGTGTAACAGTGAGTTTCATCTAGTCTCCTGTGTGGCGTCCTATCCACTTTGAGAATGCATTTGCATTATTCCAATTCTATTTCAATGTAAATAATGCTATATTTGACTATATTTTCAATGCTATTATAGTTTTCTTAAAACAGTTTTGTATCTGTTATTTACATTTTTGTTTTACTTTTATGTATGCACCACAACACCAAGTCAAATTCCTCGTACGTGTCAACCTACCTGGTAATAAACCTGATTCTGATTCTCTGCCAGAATCTGTCAAAATACACTTTTCATCCAGGTTCAAGCCACATTCTTACCATACAACATACATCTTGGTAGATATTAGATAACCCATCAAAAAGCATGGGAGAAACACCTATTTCTAATGTAAAAGCAGTGTAATTCAGTGTTATACTCCTCCCCACAGTAATGTGTTTAATATTGTGTGTCTGTGCAGCAGGAGGCGGCAGGCTGCGATCCTCTGGACGAGCTGTACGACGCTCTGGCTGAAGTGGTGGGAGCTGAAGACACCAGCGAGTGCTACAAGAGCTACCTACTGGTACTTTAATAAGAGTTTCCTTTGGCTTTTTGCTTTTTAACGTTCTAAGACCTCAAGTTCAAAGATATTTATGTGGGTTTAAAGAAAATATTTAATCTTTGAAATACTCATTTCAGGGATAAATCTGTTGAATTGTATTATACAATCTTTTAAATAAGGAATAAAAAAAGGATATTCAAGAGTTGAGTTGCAGACAGATATTCCAGTGTTGTTGTCCTCTCCGCAGCCCGGCGGCGACTCGGTCAGCCTGAGGGAGAGCGTGGCTCTGATCTCAGACGGGACCACGGGCCTGGTGACGTGGGAGGCCGCTCTCTTCCTCACTGAGTGGGCTCTGGAGCACCGGCAGGCCTTCAGCGGCAGGTAACCAGCACCAGGAGACCTTCCTTCAGATATACAGAGAAATCATTGTGGTCAAAAGATCTGCATCCTGCAAGACTCAGAATTCTATTTATTTGACTCTGATTGATCCTCTTTTCATAACGTTGACATTTTAAATTCTAAATCAACGTTTGAAAGGTGTGCTTAATATTTGATTCTGAAATAGGCTATTACACATAATGAGTACTTTTACCTTTATACTTAAATTTTGAATGTAGGACTTTTAATTGAGTATTTTTACATTTTAGTATTACTTTAATACGTGAGTACTTCTTCCCCCTCTGCATACTCACACAGTTGAATTCCCGCCCCCTCTCTCTGCAGGACGGTGCTGGAGCTGGGCAGCGGGGTGGGGCTGACCGGCATCTCCATCTGTCGCTCTTGCAGCCCGAAGAGGTTTGTGTTCAGCGACTGTCACCCCCGGGTGCTGCAGACGCTCGAAGACAACGTGCGGCTCAATGCTGTGACGCAGAGGGAGCCCCCCCCCGTCACCGTGAAGGAGCTGGACTGGAGCACGGCGACGGGGGAGCAGGTCGCTCGGATCGAAGCAGACACCGTCATCGCTGCAGGTCAGAGATCAGGGTCCAGAGGTGGAATGTTAAGTTAAAAAAGAGGAAACCTTCATGCAGATGTTCTCATCATGTGAACAACATCTTGTTCTTTTTCAATACTGTGAGCCGTGTTCATGCTCAACTCTCTGACTGCTTTTGGCACACGTCTGCACATCTCTCCATTTTAAAATATAATACACTGTAGTTAGTTTGCCATTTACTCATTGTCCCAAGTGTTTTTTTTTATTTTAGCTTTTAAGGTTTTTTTTAAATGTGGTGTAAATACTTGTCTTTAGCATCCTTTTTTAATGCTGAATTGTTTCTTAAAAATACTTATTTTTTATTATCCTTGTTTCCTTTTTTTTTTTACCTGCTTTGCAACTTATTTTTTTTTGTTGTTCATGTTCAAATGACCAGATACCAAAGCAAATTACTTGTATGTGTAAAGGTACCTGGCAATAAACTTGATTCTCTGCCCCCCCCCCCCTTGCAGATGTGGTGTACGACCCAGAGGTTGCAGAGAGTCTGGTAAAGCTGCTGAACACCATCCTGAGCTGCTCCAATCCTGACATCTACATCTGCTCCACCGTGAGAAACCCAGAGACCTACAGCGGGTTTAAGACGCAGCTCGGTGAGAACCTGTTCTTTTTATTTTACTGAAGATATCCTTTCCAGTCTAATTCTTTGTAATACAACATTCATGCACACATCAATAGAATGTGTAATGCTTAAGTGCTTAAAAATAGCCCTGAATAAAGTGAAGATACCAATGCATTTTTTTACATCGCTTCAAGTCTACTGCTTCTTTGCTAAAGAATCGCACTTGAACACACCACAAAGAGTACAGGCATATACAAGTCTTGTAAAAAAGGTTTAACATTTTAAACGATTAAAAAACCAGTTGGTTCAAATGCTGTTGTAATAACTTTTGCAAATGCAGATTTAAAAATGACATATGTACTTATTATTTAAGGTATATACTTTGGAAAAATGGTATTGTGTACGAAAGATGATTATTGATATCTACCGTTTTCTAGGCGCAACACAGGCAGCTTACGACTTCAATTATATTTCATTTACATGACTTATGAACGGTATTTGATTTGTTAATTATTAGATATACTGAGATCTCTTGTGGGTAAATCCGAATGATTTTTATTTTATGAGGGCTTTAATTGCCGTGTCCTTAATATCATGAGGTTTTCTGACTGAATGTGTTTTATTTTTGACAGAAAAAGCAGGAATCAGCCATCGGGTGATGACAGGAGCCGTCAGCCACGTGTTCCCTTACAGCAGAGGCTCTGCTATAGAAATGATCCAACTGTACAGATGACTGTAGCACATTAAAGATTTTATTTACAAATTTACATCGTATCAAAGTGTCCTTTTTATACATTCAAGTGCTCTGAAGTACTACAAAATAGCTGGAATCAAACGTTTGTACTTTATCTCACCTGTGTTGCTGCTGCATCTAATTGTTTAAAGTTAATCAGACTCATTCCCTCCTCTTTAATGTAACAAGGCAGAATTCAAAAGGTGAGATTTAGATGCGTTTTGCTCTGAAAAATGAGTATTGTCCATTAAAAGTCCCTCCTGGTGTCCCTCAGGGAGCGGAGAGGAGAGGTAGGACATTCTGGTCCCAGTTCTCGTCCCAGCCTGGCCCCCTGCTGCGCCGCAGCATCCTCCTGAAGGCCCCCAGCTGGCCCCCTGACCCGGGGAACTCTGAGAGTAGAGACTGAAACAGACACAATCAGATTTATTTCAAAAGCCATGTTCCTCACGAAGAACATTTATGGCTTTTTCAAACGTTTTTAATATCATTTTAGGTGATCTAATGCATTTGGCTTACATCCTTAATCTACATATTAACATATTGAAAGTGTAACCTCAGCTTCTCTAATAAGTGTATGATAACATGTGTGTCCAAAATCCAGACCATCATAGAGTCTTAAAAGAAAATAAGATACCCCTGAATTAAAACCACCATTTTGTATTCCATGGACATTGTACAGATTACATCAGTGTAAAATCATGCATCCTATTACAGTATATCTTTAAATTAACATAGAGACTTGGCTTCCAACCTTTTTCCAACATATTAAGATAATAATTTCTCATGTTACCCTATAAGACAAACATGCTATTTTCCTGCACAAAAAAAATCTAAATGGATCCAATTCAATGTTCTTGATCATATCAGACACTGAACGAATGACAAATATCTCTTAGCTTTAAGTGTTCTTTTCATCAAAACAATCTAAAAATGTATTATATGCTGTAGTTTTGATCAGGACTGGTATTGTTCTGATTCGCCTCAGTTACAGTGGAGAAATAATATAAATATATATTAATTAATAGTTTTAGGGAGAGTTTCTCTAAAAAGGTGAAAATACATTTAAACTGTAGTAATTGTACAAAGTAATTGTGATAAGCTGTAATCTTTGCTAAAGGTGTTAAAAAGTGATTTAACCACCGTGAACATGTGTCAAACTTGTGTACTGAAGTGAAACCTTCTTTTGACCTTGATTTAGCTCAGTACTCAGTAGTGTTGAGAACTTGTTGATACAAATTAAAATCGTGGACAGAAACGAAACCATTAATTCAAATATTCTGAACGTTCTTTATCTGATTTTTGTCTGTATTCTGGAAACATGCATTAGTCTCACCTTGAGCTGCTCAGCGAGCTCCTGAGCGTCTCTGAAGATCAGCCCGTTCTCCTCGTGCTTCACCAGCTCGTGTAAACTGAGGGAAGAGAGGTGTCATGTCAGCTCTCAGAGTGTGACCCATCCCTCCATAGTTCTTGCTGATACCTAGTACCTTTGTTATTGTTATTTTATCAGTGTTTAAAGTGAAAGCAGACTCACCAGTGGAAGTGGATGGCGCAGACGGGCAGGCAGCAGCCGAACATGTCCACCACCTTCATGGGGAGGTCCAGACCGCTGGAGGACTTGTGGAGACACACACCCAGATCTGCTGAGCCTGATATAGAGCACACACACACACACACACACACACACACACACACACACACACACACACACACACACACACACACACACACACACACACACACACACACACACACACACACACACACACACACACACACACACTACTACTACTATACTATATATAGTATACTACTAGTACGTAGTACGTACGACGTACGTTA